AACTACGCGACAGCGCCTGCCGCCACCCCCAAACTACACAACACACGCCCAAGCTACGTGACAGCGCCTGCCGCCACCCCCAAACTACACAACACCGCCCAAGCTACGCGACAGCGCCTGCCGCCACCCCCAAACTACACAACACCCGCCCAAGCTACGCGACAGCGCCTGCCGCCACCCCCAAACTACACAACACCCGCCCAAGCTACGACAGCGCCTGCCGCCACCCCAAACTACACAACACCGCCCAAGCTACGCGACAGCGCTGCCGCCACCCCCAAACTACACAACACCCGCCAAGCTACGCGACAGCGCCTGCCCCACCCCCAAACTACACGACAAACTACACGGCGGTGCCCGTCTGCCGCCCCCACCAAACTACACGACGACGCCCGTCTGCCGCCCCCGCCAAACTACACGACACCTGTTTTTGGACGTTCCAGAAAGCAGGTTAACAGATTGTTCAGATGGCGAGCGGTGGCTGTTGGTCCTCACACCAGCAGGTAGAGGACGAGTCAGTCTGATACTGAGGCAAAAACCAGTGACATCGCTCGCCGTCTGAAATCACCTGAACTCTAAAATAGAACAAACACAGATCGAACAGGTGAAACTCCTGACATCTCGGCTCTGATTGGCTCAGAGCTCGTTCACGCGCTTCAGCTGCAGGAAGTGAAATAGCAGCTTTGGTTTTAACCTGAACCTGTTTTTCTGGAACTCAACGTGTCGGCCCGACCTGTCTCTGACTCTGACCTCTGACCTTTGACCTGCAGCAAGTGTCGGATTTGGAGGAGGAGCTGAAAACTGTCTTCACTGGTTCAAAGTCTCTGGAGGCAGGCTGAGAAGGTAGGAGGGGGAGGGGGAGGGGGAGGAGGGGGAGGAGGGGCACACTAATGTTTGACAGCCACAGTGAACACCTGAAGTACACTGTGACCTCACTGCTGTGGGGTCCGAGGTTAAACCAGCTGCTGTTCAAAGTCTTTATGTTTCCGTTAGGGACCAAATTAAATTCTTGGCCGAAGCCGAATGTAATGAAAAACTTTCCTGAACATCAAGTAAATTCACATTTTATCCATTTATTTTCCCGCTGCATAAACAGTCAAAATGAGCTCTTTCCTCAGTGTTTCCCACAGGATGGGGAGAGACTCTGGGGGGGGTCCGGGGAGAGATTCGGGGGGGGGGGTCCGGGGCCCGACGAGGTCCGGTAAAGTAAATTTCATGAGTCCGTTTACTTTTAATGGACACATGTAATATGTTTTATACTTTCTGTAGTAAATATAATCCAGTTAATCTTATTTCCATCCTATACAGACGCCTTATTTTGAAAACTGGACGCTGTCACGTGTTTCCTCCTCGCTAAATCCATCCAGTCCGACCCGGTTTGATAAATGTTGTATGTGGTTCTCGTCCGGCGTCACATGAACATGATACACAGCTCACTGTTTCACACAGTCGGTTATTACTGTTGCACAACGCGCTGACATGTAACATGGGAAACTGCAGCTCTGTACAGTGCTGTAAAACAGAACCAGGTCTTCAGCATCTGAGCATAAAGACCTGGTCCAGCATCCGGTCTCCGTAGCGGACCCCAAACAAGCTAACGTTAGCATTTCACCTAAATCATGACTGCTAGCTGAGCGAAGGCTCAGGCCTTAGCTGGAAATGCAGAAACGTGTTTGTTGTCGTCCACCGGGTCTGTGAGTTTGGGTCGGAGCGTTCCAGGGAGTCGCACAGCTGGTACTGGGGGCGCCGCGCTGAAGGAGTTCTGATCAGATAACTGGATGAATGGATGGAATAATATAAAAACTAAATAAATTACAAAACTAACGCGGACAGCATGAGCGCTCCGGGCTGACCGTCGGACCGTTCGGCGTGAGGACAGTTTGTTCAGCTTGACCTGAAACCAGACCTGACCCTGATGTCAGGTGACCTCATGATGTCAGTAAAACCTGGTTCTCTGATTGGCTGCCTCTCTTTCTCAGTATTCCCTGAAGGAGGACCGGTACGAAGAGGAGATCAAGAACCTGAGCAGCAAACTCAAGGAGGTGAGACCCCAACATTTCTGACCCCTGACACATTACTGACTTCCTGTTTGTCACCTGCTCACTTCCTGTTTGTCACCTGCTCACTTCCTGTCCAGGCTGAAACCAGAGCAGAGTTCGCCGAGCGTTCAGTGGCCAAACTGGAGAAAACAATCGACGGTTTGGAAGGTGAGACTTCTCAGCTCAGCAGGTGTCAAATTACACCTGTAACTATTGCAGTCACCTGGGGGCGGGGCTAATTCCAATCGACCTGGGGCGGGCTTATTGAGTAGAGATGTTAACACCGTGCTGTGTTTGTGTTTTCAGACGCTCTCACTTCGGCCAGAAACGCCAACATGGAGCTGCAGGCGACTCTGAATCAGACCATGGAGGAGCTCAACTCCTGCTGAACCTGCTGCCCCCCCCCCCACCGCTGCCTGACAGGGACTCTGTGGCCCACACATTCCTATTGCCCCCCCCCTTAAGATTCCTTCTTTCACACATTCCTATTGCCCCCCCCCCTTAAGATTCCTTCTTTCACACATTCCTATTGCCCCCCCCCTTAAGATTCCTCCTTTCACACATTCCTATTGCCCCCCCCCTTAAGATTCCTTCTTTCACACATTCCTATTGCCCCCCCCTTAAGATTCCTTCTTTCACACATTCCTATTGCCCCCCCCCTTAAGATTCCTTCTTTCACACATTCTTTCTCTGAACCTTTTAAGTCTCATTTGGAGTCTTGCTTTATTTTACTGTCTAGCCCTCCCCTACTCCTCCCCTGCTCCTCCTCCTCCCCTTCCCCCGCTCTTCCACTGACAGTGCCAACCCCCCCACCCCCCCAGTATTATGTGAGGAAGCCAGATGAGGAGTTGCTGGATGTTTTTTTTGTCTATAAGGGAGATTAACAGTGACTTACAGCCATCCCCTCGTTACTAACGACTCACTAACCTCAGCGTGTTCGTTAACGGTTTGTCGTTGCACTCATTAGTTTCTTCGCCACATTAATTAACGACAGATTGATTAGAGCCAATGATTTATTACTTTTGTTCCAAGGTGGCGAGGTTTAAGCTAGCCGGTCACAGCGAGGCGTTCCACTGCCATGTTGGTCGACCAGCAGCCAATCAGCATTTTTGTTTTCTACAGGTGACCTTCGACCTAATGATTAAATAAAGTTTAGAAAAGTTTTTACCTGGGAGCCAATGATGATGTCATCGCTGTGCTGAAGTCACAGCTCATTGTAATAAATCATGAGAGGATTTTATAAAATAAAAGCACCGCCACTGTTCTGTACATCCAACCTGACTGGTTCTTTTTTACAGCTAGCAGCAGTACGTTTCCCTCTGTTTGTTTGTTGTGGAGTACAAATCTGAAAGATCAGGGCACACCTTTATACTTCCTGTTAAACAGACGCCATCGTTTTATTAACCTGCAGCCATGTGGCATCAGAATAATCAAAGTTCCTGACTGACACCTGAACGCCCCTCTGGACGCCACAACCGACAGTCTGAAAATGTTGCCATCATTGTAATATTAGCTGTAACGATGCCTCTTCCTCATCTTCACCCGGTGACAGGATCCATAGTGAAGGCAGCTTTAGAATATTTAATATATAATTTACTTCATAATGATTAAAGCAAAACTCGCATATAGAAACATGAATAACATAATAGTATCTTAGGATAACTTAGTGATAAATGTATTTACAGTACTGTGCAGAAGTTTTACGCAGGTGTGGACAAACTAAAGTAAGAATACTTTCAAAAAGTGAACTGATGCTGTTTGAAGGTGACAGCAAGTCAGAACAAATATTGATTAGATGTAGATTTTTCTTCTGTTCACACTTTCTATTTTATTAATTGATCAATTTAATCTAAAGTCTGAAAACTTTCAGACTTTACTGCAGTTTCCTTCACCTGTATATGACAGGACTGGATATTACTACAGTAGAAGTATAAAAATATATGTACAGCCTCAGACAGGTGAGTGTTTACAGTCCAGGTAAGAATCTCCCAGCAGCCTTTGCTGCTTCAGTGACTATTCAAACGCAGCTGCAGACTTCTCTTGAGTTTCTAGAAAAACTTTATTGATCACAGAGAGAGGACAGTGATCAGCTCTACAGTCCTGCTGTTACTGAACGTTCATCCGTTATCGATCAGTGATTTTCAGCTGCTTCCTCCACCAGCTTCAGGATTGGTTGCAGCTGCTCTTCCAACGAGGGGGCGTCAGCCTCATTAGTGATGAGCCAATCAAATTCAACCCCACTGTCCAACCCGCACTCTGACTCCGCATCGTCCACACCTGAGAGACAGACAGGTAGAGAGACAGACAGGTAAACTACCACTGACTGCATCGTCCTCACCTGAAAGACAGAGGTAGAGAGACGGACAGGTAGAGAGACAGACAGGTAAACTACCACTGACTGCATCGTCCACACCTGAGAGACAGACAGGTAGAGAGACAGACAGGTAAACTACCATTGACTGCATTGTCCACACCTGAGAGACAGGTAGAGAGACAGACAGGTAAACTACCACTGACTGCATCGTCCACACCTGAGAGACAGACAGGTAAACTACCACTGACTGCATCGTCCTCACCTGAAAGACAGCGGTAGAGAGACGGACAGGTAGAGAGACAGACAGGTAAACTACCACTGACTGCATCGTCCACACCTGAGAGACAGACAGGTAGAGACAGACAGGTAAACTACCATTGACTGTATTGTCCACACCTGAGAGACAGATAGAGAGACAGACAGATAAACTACCACTGACTGCATCGTCCACACCTGAGAGACAGACAGGTAGAGAGACAGACAGGTAAACTACCACTGACTGCATCGTCCACACCTGAGAGACAGACAGGTAGAGAGACAGACAGGTAAACTACCACTGACTGCATCGTCCTCACCTGAAAGACAGAGGTAGAGAGACGGACAGGTAGAGAGACAGACAGGTAAACTACCACTGACTGCATCGTCCTCACCTGAGAGACAGGTAGAGAGACAGACAGGTAAACTACCACTGACTGCATCGTCCACACATGAGAGACAGACAGGTAGAGAGACAGACAGGTAAACTACCACTGACTGCATAGTCCTCACCTGAGAGACAGACAGGTAGAGAGACAGACAGGTAAACTACCACTGACTGCATCATCCTCACCTGAAAGACAGCGGTAGAGAGACGGACAGGTAGAGAGACAGACAGGTAAACTACCACTGACTGCATCGTCCACACCTGAGAGACAGACAGGTAGAGACAGACAGGTAAACTACCATTGACTGCATTGTCCACACCTGAGAGACAGGTAGAGAGACAGACAGATAAACTACCACTGACTGCATCGTCCACACCTGAGAGACAGACAGGTAGAGAGACAGACAGGTAAACTACCACTGACTGCATCGTCCTCACCTGAGACAGACAGGTAGAGAGACAGACAGGTAAACTACCACTGACTGCATCGTCCTCACCTGAGAGACAGACAGGTAGAGAGACAGACAGATAAACTACCACTGACTGCATCGTCCACACCTGAGAGACAGACAGGTAGAGAGACAGACAGGTAAACTACCACTGACTGCATTGTCCTCACCTGAGACAGACAGGTAGAGAGACAGACAGGTAAACTACCACTGACTGCATTGTCCTCACCTGAGAGACAGACAGGTAGAGAGACAGACAGGTAAACTACCACTGACTGCATCGTCCTCACCTGAAGACAGAGGTAGAGAGACGGACAGGTAGAGAGACAGATAGGTAAACTACCACTGACTGCATCGTCCACACCTGAGAGACAGAGGTAGAGAGACAGACAGGTAAACTACCACTGACTGCATCGTCCACACCTGAGAGACAGGTAGAGAGACAGACAGGTAAATACCACTGACTGCATCGTCCACACCTGAGAGACAGACAGGTAGAGAGACAGACAGGTAAACTACCACTGACTGCATCGTCCACACCTGAGAGACAGACAGGTAGAGAGACAGACAGGTAAACTACCACTGACTGCATAGTCCTCACCTGAGAGACAGACAGGTAGAGAGACAGACAGGTAAACTACCACTGACTGCATCGTCCACACCTGAGAGACAGACAGGTAGAGAGACAGACAGGTAAACTACCACTGACTGCATCGTCCTCACCTGAAAGACAGAGGTAGAGAGACGGACAGGTAGAGAGACAGACAGGTAAACTACCACTGACTGCATCGTCCTCACCTGAGAGACAGAGGTAGAGAGACAGACAGGTAAACTACCACTGACTGCATCGTCCTCACCTGAGAGACAGAGGTAGAGAGACAGACAGGTAAACTACCACTGACTGCATCGTCCTCACCTGAGAGACAGAGGTAGAGAGACAGACAGGTAAACTACCACTGACTGCATCGTCCTCACCTGAGAGACAGGTAGAGAGACAGACAGGTAAACTACCACTGACTGCATTGTCCTCACCTGAGAGACAGAGGTAGAGAGATGGACAGGTAGAGAGACAGACAGGTAAACTACCACTGACTGCATCGTCCACACCTGAGAGACAGGTAGAGAGACAGACAGGTAAACTACCACTGACTGCATCGTCCACACCTGAGAGACAGACAGGTAGAGAGACAGACAGGTAAACTACCACTGACTGCATAGTCCTCACCTGAGAGACAGACAGGTAGAGAGACAGACAGGTAAACTACCACTGACTGCATCGTCCACACCTGAGAGACAGACAGGTAGAGAGACAGACAGGTAAACTACCACTGACTGCATCGTCCTCACCTGAAAGACAGAGGTAGAGAGACGGACAGGTAGAGAGACAGACAGGTAAACTACCACTGACTGCATCGTCCTCACCTGAGAGACAGGTAGAGAGACAGACAGGTAAACTACCACTGACTGCATCGTCCTCACCTGAGAGACAGGTAGAGAGACAGACAGGTAAACTACCACTGACTGCATCGTCCTCACCTGAGAGACAGAGGTAGAGAGACAGACAGGTAAACTACCACTGACTGCATCGTCCTCACCTGAGAGACAGAGGTAGAGAGACAGACAGGTAAACCTACCTGCAGTGAAGATCCACCCCCTCTGTTGCCGTGTTTTTTCTGAACTTTGAACTCTGACAGTTTGAGTCTGTCGAGGAAACTCTGACCAGAACCACTGCAGGTCTGACAGCCGCCGCGCATCACTCACCATCTGAAAATCAGAGAGCAGAGACCATCACATACCACCTGAGCAATCAGAGAGCATCACTCGCCACCTAGGAGCAGGAGGAAGAGACATCAGGGACTCACCCAGACAGGTTGCCTTGCTCCTCTGGTTGCTAGGCGACAGAAGAACCCAGGGTCCTGGCTGCGGCGAGTTTCTCCCCAGCGAATCATATCGGCCCGATACTGCTCCTTATAAAGACCAGGACCCAACAGCCGGTCCAGGTCCAGATTGTGTTCCTGCAGATCCAACAGAACCAGAATCACTCAGCAGGCCTCATGGTCAGCTCTTGGTCTCACCTGTGCGTACAGGTGTTGGTCTTACCTTAGCATACTGCTGCTTGAGAGGTCCAGACAGGCGGATGACGCAGCAAGCATCAGATCCTAAACTGCAGAAGCAGGAGAGACATCATCCAGGTGGAGTTTATATTTAAAGTTTTCATCACTCGCAGCACTTTTCTTGTTTCCAGTAGAATGAACTCCCAGAGGAGGAGCTTCTGCAGCTCTGAGCGGTTTGTTCAGGAGGAACATGAATAAAACGATGCTCTGCAGCGTCTCCATGAGACCAGGACCGGTTCACTTCTGAGACTCGCGGAGGGTTAGTTTAACCTAATCAGAACCGGCTTCTGGTGTGATTTCAACACTCGCAGCAGACTAACAGCATCTTCATTCCTGTTGAAATGACGATTGTTGTAAACCAAATATTCTCAATGTCACAATAAAAATCGTCCTGATACTAAATAAGCTCCTCCTCCAAACCCCACTTAGAGACAGATCATCAGATCTTTCAGGTAACGTTCAAGACAACTTTTAACTATAAAAGGACAAACAATCAAACTTGGTTGGGAAGGATCTTTTTCCGTAAGTGATTGGACAGACAGTAGCAGCCAATCACAGGGACGGACAACTTGTGATCCATCAGCTGGATTAATGAGCTTTAACAGGCGGGACCAATTATTGATCAGTTCTGACGTCCCCTGTTAATGGTTTTATTTCCATTCTCTGGGATCACGTCACCTCCTCACAAACCGACTCAAACAAATGGATATTTACCGGTTGTGGATCAGGTCCGTCACATAATCTTTTCCGGACTTCCGTTTCCCGCTGAAGACCAGAACCAGTTTGGGTTCAGAGACTCGGTCCTCCATCTGTCCTCAGTGATCACATCGATCAGCTGCTGCTTTCTATCAGCGCGTGCTCCGACAGTCGGACCACCGCGGCTCGGTACCGTAATTATCCGAACAAACACGAAGCGCTCCCGATCTAAACTTCTGTCAGACACCGGAGGGCTCGTCCGGTCACTAATCGATATCAGACCGATTGGATATTGATCACGTGGCGTGTGAAGTCTGTTTGTGAAGATAAATATGGAAATATTCCGGAGTGTTTTTCCAAAGTGACGCCATTTTAGACACATTACGGTAACTCGTGACCGTCGTCACTCTCTGACGGTTGGTTTGATCCGGGTCAAAGGTCACCAGCTGTTGAACAAGATGGCGGCCGCCGTGTTTTGGAGGAAAGCAGAGTTTTTAAGATCAGCGCGCGCTTCAGTGCACCAGGTGAGAAAACTTCTTAAAGTACTTTAAAACGGCCGGAGCCGCAAACACAACATCCATAATCGATAATCAGCCGGGCTTCTGGCGGGAAATGGACGTTACCTGCTGCAGCTCACCTTTCACCCGCATCCTCGTGCACGCGCTTTGCAGCTCAGAGTGCACGTGGCAGATTTAATCTTCTTTATTTCAGAATAAATCATTTGTTTTCTGTGAAATTTAAAGTGTCTCCATCAAGTCTGGAGGGGTCCAGGTTTACAGGGAAGACCAGATCCAGAACAGGGTCATCTCGGAAGCGGCGGTGTACACAGTGTTCAGATCCAGTACTTAATAGCTCACTGTAAAATACTCAGTTATAAGTAAAAGTACTGCATTGAAAATGTTACCAAGTATAATCAGTAAAATCTACTTAAAGTATTAAAAGTACTCACTGCAGTAAAATGTCCCCTGTGATCAGAGTATTCTTCCTCCTCTTTAAAGTACAGTAGGATGCTGCTGCTGTAGTTGTTGAGGTTGAACTGATAAGTTTCAGACTGCAGCTGATGATTCTTTTCATTCTGGATCAATCTGCTGATTATTTTCTCCATTAATGGATTGTGAAATGAAAACCATCAGACATGTTGTCCCAGTTTCTCAGAGAGACTCCTTCAGTCAGTCCAAACCTCCAAATAACATAAATAATAAAAAGGAAAAGCCGCAGATCTTCACCTCAAATGTTTTCACATGAAAAATGACTTCAACGATGATCAGAATAAATAAAGAACTAATGGAGCAGCTGCACTTTCTAAACTGTTGGAGTTTAATTTATAACTAACATCAGATTTCAGAAACTCTTCATGTGTCTTTGTAAAGTGACTGAAGCTGTTAGAGAAATGTAGTGAAGTAAAAAGTACTAGATCTCCCTCTGAGACGGAGCAGGAGGAGAAAGTACTCAAGTACCTTTCGTTACTACTTTATTGCCACCAGGTGGCGCACTAACACCTTCTCACTTTCAGGAGAGTGACCATCAGACCAATCATACGACAGTTCAGCTTGTTGTTGCCCTCTGGGGTAAAAAGCAACATCCTCAGGGATCAGAGGGGATTTTCCATATATAACCAGCAGCAGCGCGAATGAGCAGGAAGCTGGACTTCCGCAGAGAAGATGCCACGCACAGAACGTGATGGCGTTTATCTCGGCCCACATATATCCCCTAAGTGTTGTCTTTTTGGATAAACTTTATTGACATTTTAAGCAGACAGACAGAAAGTCAAACATGACCAGGAGACAGGCCAGTACATCAGGAGACGTGGAGGAGGCCGTAGGAGGGCAACAACCCAGCAGCAGGACCGCTACCTCCGCCTTTGTGCAAGGAGGAGCAGGAGGAGCGCTGCCAGAGCCCTGCAAAATGACCTCCAGCAGGCCACAAATGTGCATGTGTCTGCTCAGACGGTCAGAAACAGACTCCATGAGGGTGGTATGAGGGCCCGACGTCCACAGGTGGGGGTCGTGCTTACAGCCCAACACTGTGCAGGACGTTTGGCATTTGCCAGAGAACACCAAGATTGGCAAATTCGCCACTGGCGCCCTGTGCTCTTCACAGATGAAAGCAGGTTCACACTGAGCACGTGTGACAGACGTGACAGAGTCTGGAGACGCCGTGGAGAACGTTCTGTTGCCTGCAACATCCTCCAGCATGACCGGTTTGGCGGTGGGTCAGTAATGGTGTGGGGTGGCATTTCTTTGGGGTGCCGCACAGCCCTCCATGTGCTCGCCAGAGGTAGCCTAAGTGTAGTGTGGTTATCCACTTTGATTTTGAGTGCGACTCCAAATCCAGACCTCCATGGGTTGATAAATTTGATTTCCATTGATAATTTATGTGTGATTTTGTTGTCAGCACATTCAACTATGTAAAGAAAGGAGTCTTTAATGAGATTATTTCTTTCATTCAGATCTAGGATGTGTTATTTTAGTGTTCCCTTTATTTTTGTGAGCAGTGTATATACAGGTGCTGGTCATGTAATTAGAATATCATCAAAAAGTTGATTTATTTCAGTAATTCCATTCAAAAAGTGAAACTTGTATAATGTATACATTCATTCCACACAGACTGATATATTTCAAGTGTTCATTCCTTTTAATTTTGATTATAACTGACAACTAATGAAAACCCCAAAATCAGTATCTCAGAAAATTAGAATATTGTGAAAAGGTTCAATAATAAAGACACCTGGTGCTGCACTCTAATCAGCTAATTAACTCCAAACACCTGCAAAGGCCTTTAAATGGTCTCTCAGTCTAGTTCTGTAGGCTACACAATCATGGGGAAGACTGCTGACTTGACAGCCGTCCAAAAGACGACCATTGACACCTTGCACAGGAAGGGCAAGACACAAAAGGTCATTGCTAAAGAGGCTGGCTGTTCACAGAGCTCTGTGTCCAAGCACATTAATAGAGGCGAAGGGAAGGAAAAGATGTGGTAGAAAAAAGTGTACAAGCAATAGGGATAACCGCACCCTGGAGAGGATTGTGAAACAAAACCCATTCAAAAATGTGGGGGAGATTCACAAAGAGTGGACTGCAGCTGGAGTCAGTGCTTCAAGAACCACCACGCACAGACGTATGCAAGACATGGGTTTCAGCTGTCGCATTACACAAGACACAGCGTCAGAAGCGTCTCGCCTGGGCTAAAGACAAAAAGGACTGGACTGCTGCTCAGTGGTCCAAATTTATGTTCTCTGATGAAAGTAAACTTCATGCTTCCTTCTGCTGACCAACTTTATGGAGATGCAGATTTCATTTTCCAACAGGACTTGACACCTGCACACAGTGCCAAAGCTACCAATACTTGGTTTAAGGACCATGATATCCCTGTTCTTAATTGGCCAGCAAACTCGCCTGACCTTAACCCTATAGAAAATCTATGGGGTATTGTGAAGAAGAAGATACGATACGCCAGACCCAACAATGCAGAAGAGCTGAAGGCCACTATCAGAGCAACCTCAGACTGATGGACTCCATGCCACGCCGCATTGCTGCAGTAATTCAGGCAAAAGGAGCCCCAACTAAGTATTGAGTGCTGTACATGCTCATACTTTTCATGTTCATACTTTTCAGTTGGCCAACATTTCTAAAAATCCTTTTTTTGAATTGGTCTTAAGTAATATTCTGATTTTCTGAGATACTGAATTTGGGATTTTCATTAGTTGTCAGTTTTAATCATCACAAATGAAATAAACATTTGAAATAAATCAGTCTGTGAGGAATGAATGAATATATCCATGTTTCACTTTTGAATGGAATTACTGAAGTAAATCAACTTTTTGATGATATTTTAATTATATGACCAGCACCTGTAAATATGGAATACACAAAGGCGAGTTATATATAAATTGATAAAATAGAAAAATATAGTACAACGATTAACAATTAACAACAAGGGGGCCTCTGGAGGGAGTAAGGGGGCCACTGAGGGCAGTAAAGGGGCCTCTGGAGGCAGTAAGGGGGCCACTGAGGGCAGTAAGGGGCCTCTGGAGGCAGTAAGGAGGCCATTGAGGGCAGTAAGGGGGCCTCTGGAGGCAGTAAAGAGGCCATTGAGGGCAGTAAGGGGGCCTCTGGAGGCAGTAAAGAGGCCACTGAGGGCAGTAAGGGGGTCTCTGGAAAGTGTTTGGCCCATTAGTGTCCACTGTGTTGGACTTTTATCACGGCGCTGCTTCTGTCTGTAACTGGAGAAATATAGAATAGAAAAATGACAAAGCGATCTCAGAAAGGTTTGCAGCTTTTAAAGGTTCTATTCAGTCTGTCAAACCAACGTGAAACAAATGAAGACAGAAGCTAACAGAAGCTAATGTCTAGTGACCACAGAGTAAAAGTGAAGCACTGCATCGCCTGACGATCTTAAGGATCAACACTGTTCCAGGTCTCTGTTCCCTATTCCAGTCATTAGAAAGCAGGACAGCAGGGCTTTATGACGTTACATTCTGCAGGAAGTTAGCTAGCATTAGCTTACTGACATCACATTAGGATCAATCCACAGCGACATTTCTCTGGATTTGTTTTGGGTTTTGGAAAGAGAATAAACTTCTCCTGTCTACCTCTCAGGGTCACGACTGTCACTGTTAAGTTAAAGGGAAGATGTTCAGTCACTGAATTCTGTCTCAGCGTGGCTGTTTTATAGTCCTATAAAACACTAGTTGTTACAAATCTCATGTCTAGACGCCATCTTGGAATCCTTTAAACTTGGCGTAGCATTAGGTGCTTTCGAGATGACAGTGGCTGACTTTTGCTGACTTGATAGTCTAACGTGAGCTGCAAGCGACTGCAGTGGCGGGAATAAAAATGGCGCTGGTCAAGTTGGACACATTCTACCTGCGTGAACTCACTGAGAGCTGAGATCAATGACTGATCTCGCAGTATTTGCAAAGGAAAACGCAGTGAGACCAGGCAAAAGGTGGTTCCAACTGCGGCCCCCCGACTCGGCGCCTTCCCATCACTGTGGGGCCTGGACAGCACAGAGATCTTCAGTAATATAAATATTGATCTGTATTCATTGTGATTACTAATATTTCAATGTTTTGGGGACATTTATGTTTTTGTAATGAATGAATAAATAGTTTCAACTTGTAAATAGTAAACATGGAGACCACCTGAGTCTAGCTTT